TTTTCACATGGATTCACAGCTCTGACTGTTAACACTACTGACTACTGGCTACTAATATTAGTATCCGTTTTTGAGTAAGATAATAGCAACTCATACAATACAGGTTTACAATGTAGAATGTCACTTCCTATAATACGGACAAGACAATATTGATGATTCCACTTGTGACACTCTGTATACTCTATTCTGGACCACGACCTTTATTTTATAATGAACGGCGCCATTTAGCTACGCACACAAATCCCCCAGTGTTCCATCGGCTTTGGGAAAAGTGATGGTCTTTTTCATCAAACTTTAGGTTTGAGTAAAGAGAGATTAGTCGAAGTCGCGCCTGAATCTAAAACTTCAATAGAATCGAAAAACACGGAGTAAACACAATAAAAGGTAAATTATCTTATACGGTACCTGGCACTTCAGTTATAGTGCAGTAAACATATTTAACTTTTACTGCTTACGCAGAAGAGAGGTTATGTAATGGGGCGGAAAAACAACAAACTTACATCAGAAAAACTCTTTTTGCCGGACATGACAACTAACAAGGGGGTAAATAAAGTTGGTTACTGTTGAAATCAAAATCCTTCCACATATAGTGTAGCCATAATCCATGTTTCGTGGGTTCTGGAAACCAAAAAATCGGTTGACGGCAAATCGTGTGTTCATTTGTCCGTGAACGCTACAAGCTAAACCGTTCAGCTGATTTTCTCCAAAATTAATATTCCCCAATCGATCTGACTGATTTCACAACCCCTTGAATTTTCAAGCAATATTTTAATTTTGGTGGATAATTACATAAATCTCCTTGGGCATTTTCAAAATACAAAAATAGTACCAATTTTTTTATTAAATTTTATTGCCGGGTAGCGTAATATATACTTCACATGAACGTGCAGGTCACATGTTCGTTGAAAATCCTGATTTTTCGACAGTTTCAAAAGTTTAAAATTTATTCCGAGTCTTCCTTCAACTAAAATATTAAAGATAGAACTTTTTTCATCGATGAAACTTGTTCCTTAAAGACAGGATGTGAAGAAAGAAAAAGAAGAACTCATTATGAAAATAAGTGGAACGGTAATAAGAGAAAACATCTGACAAATAGTGAGCAACAATATAAAAACAAAAAGAAAAAGATTGTTGCAGCAAATGAGTGGAAACTAGCATCATGTATGTTTTCTATCAGTGAAGGTCACAAAGAAGATTTTTGTAAAAGAATTGTATCTGCTTCAAATGTACAATAGACAAAATTGTAATTTATTTGGTCTGGTAAGATCTTCTGAGTGTGAGAGGTTCAATTAGTGGTGCAGCCACGCCCGACCGCATGTGGCGAGGAACGGGCAAGCTTTCTGCGAAGAGCGACGGGCACCACTGCGTCCCTGACCCGCGCACTCGCTGACATGTCTGGGACACGGGTTATCGGCAACCTCTTCGTTCTGGTGCTCCTGCAGCCACTGTCGATGCTTTGTGGTCACACTTTGAAACTGCCTGGCGGCATATGCAGGCTCTCTTTGAATCCACTGCGTGACGTCTAGATAGGGTTACCAGGTGTCTACTATTTGCGCAGCCAGCCCGCTTTTTTCACAAAATAGTGGACATTGCTTTGTATAATTTGTTAATATTTCCTAACGTTGTAAATTAAAGAATTACTCACTAAACACAAATAATTTATTAAAACGCAAAATGAAATAATAAATACACACGACAGCAAAGTAAAATGGGATTTCATATTTTAAATATTATTATTATATATTTTATGTTTTCAATTTTAATTAAAGTTTTGAAATAATTGTTTTAATAATTGTTAAAATGTGAGTAAGAAATTATAAATTGAATTGAATTTTTTAAATCACTCCTTACCCCTGCTTGGCCGTTATTTTTTGGAAGCAGATCTGGCAACCCTACGTTTTGAGGTTCTGATGGAAGCGCGTGGCGATGTATTTTCTTTTAAGCAACTCACGAATTTTAATTGAAATTAGACCAATTACGTTTCCACTCTTAAAAATTCTATTTTAATGTAACATGAGAGAAAACAGAAAATATTAATACTATAAATTACAAACGTTTATAACTTTAATTTTATATTACGACCGTTCGCTGCTTTGGGCAACAAAGAGGCACCGTTGGATATTTAAACATTTCAGTGTTGAACGGCGACAATAGAGGATAAGTGAAATTTATTTACTTCTGTGAAATACGAGTTTTGGTTGGAACATTTTTTTATAATCGAAGTTTTCAAATCCATTTTTAATATTCGAATTTGTGTTGATATTTTTTTTCAATCTAATTAGTTTCCGAACCTAATGTTCTACGCTTTGTAATGAGTTTTACAAAAAATTATGACTGAGATGTAATTCAGACAGGAAGTGAGGTATAATACGACTTAACCATTTCTAAGGGTGAGAAAGAATGTGCCCTTTCGCACAACTAGTTATTATATTCGTTGACAAAATTTTGCAATTATTTTACTGTCTGAACACAGCTATATCTGTGTCCTTCAAAGTTCATTTCATTCACTCGGACATTCGATTTCCTTGCACTTCTCATTCTGAAATAATTTAAAGTCCAAGCAGTTGCTGAAAAAAGAGAGTACTTCAGGAAAACTATGGAAGATTTTTCTCTCTCCTTCTTTAAATTTTTTGGGGTGCTCTCTGAAGAAAAACTGCAAACAAGAGTATCTAACTTCCTGAAACATATATGAAATTATTATATTATTCAACCCTTTTCCCGAGTTCCAGATCCCTTGTACACTTTCCTCACAACATATTATTACTGAGCCTTAATCAAACTTCAATTAAGTACAGACGAAAATCATGAGCGTAAGCGTCATATCGCCATGGCGTTTTCCTGACACATTCATTACCCTCTCTAAATGATACTTTTTTATCTATTGCTTCTTGGAAATACAATAAAAAATAAAGCATACAATTGAAAATTTACCTCTATGAATACAGGATCAGCAACAAGAACAAATAGATGCGGGCCCATCCAGGCTCTACAAACATATCCATATTCTTTTGTCAATCTAAATATATTTTTTAAGACGTCTGCAACAAATATAGTACTAATTTTAATAACACAGTGATAACAAATATTTTAAAATAAGTAGAATATAAAACATTTGATTTTAATTTATTTTTAATTTAAAATAATAATATTACATGACAAAAATTGTAAGCTATTATTTATAACTATGGAAACTTTTGTGATAGTTTATTAAAAAATATTTCATGCACTACCAAGTCCAAAAATACTAATGTACACATGAACTACGATTATCAAATAGAGAAGCATCAACGATTCAGGATTAAAATAATAAAATTATGAATAGACGAAACGCACTATCAAATTTTATAATTTTACTCTTTTTCTTTTGTCATTGCCTCGTGGAGCATTAAACAATCATTAATGTTTTCCAAATGTTCTAGAGTTGCATCCGCTTGTCTGAAAAAATGAATGCAAAAACTGACCTATCTACGTCACAAGACGTAATAGGAAAATACGAGCGTAATAGGAAAATACTTAAAGGACACAATTTGCATCAACATTAGGTAAAAACATTTCCATTTTGTTTACGCGCCGTAAATAAGGCATCCCTCCCAGCGGTCAATTGCAAGCCCTTTGTGCCTGGCCAATCCATGGGCATCTACCATCACTAACAAAAAACCCCCCCCCCAAAAAGAAAGTGGAGGGGAAGTTAAGCTGGCTGCCAGTCAAAGGTCGCTGATTGTGGAGGGCAGAGGCTGTTATTATTTCAGTGCGTGCGGTTTGACAGATATTTCCCTCGGGTCTTTGTTTTGACAATGAGGTACTTAGTTTAGTAAGTACTAATTAGTAGTAAAGGATTGTAATGATGCGGCCCAAACTGGTGATTTTTCTTGAGAAAAATCTCGTTTTATGGGACCCTGGGATAAATCTTATTTCTATATGTAGTCAAGTACGTCATCTAACACGCTGTGTATTTAGAACCATGTTTTATGAGTGTATGTGACCGGAAAATTGGTTTACGGCAAAAAGGTTGGTCTGGTTAAAACTTCAGAAGTTTTTTTTTTTTTTTTGAAATTGACATTTTTTGATCAATGTCATAGCTCAAGACCCTGCAAATTTGAAATTTTATCTTAATTATTGGGGGAACTTTAGATGAAGCCTCAACAATATTTTCAAACGTTTATCAAAAATGGCTTTAACAAAAAAATGCTTTAAGGAAGTCTGTTCGTTAAACATATCTGTAAATAAGGTCACCTATAATGTTTCAAATATACGAGTCGTTATCGCGAAATTTTGCGTGAAATAGAAGAAATTTTAAAAAGCTTTTCTCCAAAACGGATCCAATTGTTTATTTAATTTTTTTGAGAAAACAAATGCACTGCTACAAAAATTGTTCAGTTTCCATTATAATTTCAATTTCAAGCTAATAATAATTATTTTTAAAATATTGATTTCAAAAATATTTCCTGGGGGCCGACCTAAAGTTGTCCCCAGCCTGCATTAGTTTCAGAATACGCTTCCGGTATGTGCGTGTGAAGAATTGGAAAGGCTTGCACGTCGTTAGAGAAAGAGGGTGCAGCGAGGAGGCGAGCCACCTAGAAAAAAACAAAAAACAAACGATTCTTCCCGGTGGTTCCCATTTGGGCTGGAACTCACTTTCCCCCCGACCAACCCCAGAGCTGAGCGTGGACCTCCCCCGCTGGACTGGGGGCTGCCTATTCAACTTCCTCAGAGGGCTAGGAATGGGAGAGACTGGGAGGGCGCCATTGGGCGTTAATCCAGCACCGGTCAAAAGAACGAGAATTCGGTGTCGCGTGTTGCGGCGTTCGCGCCGCGTCAGTCGCCGGGGACATAAAAATCCGCAATTAAAATGGGCAGTGCATGAGCCATTTGCATACAATTAAATAGAAAAATGAAGGTTTACTCGTTTTTGGACTTTCAAATACTTACCCCCGGAGTACGACCAAATTCGAGGGCAGCTCCTATGATTGGCAGCGATTTCGGCCCAGGCAAGAAATTACCCGTATTGCGGGCAGCCCGAGATAACACAAATATATAGTATTGCAAGATGAAAATCAGCATTACCAGAATCGCCAGAGGAAGGAAGGTGTGATCCACATGTCAATGAGGCTGCTAGAAATAAAAAAGACATTTAACAAATGTGAGGAATCATTAGAGAGGCCTGTTTAACATACATCTGAGGCATGACATAAGGTCCCATTCTCACTTGATAACATTATTCCAAAACAGACGAAATAAGCGGTTTGTGAGTTTTTAGAAATAATTTTCGAAATTGTAAATTAATTTTGTTTGCCAAAACATAAGAGAGCAATAGTTTTGTGATGTAAAGGGAAATTTGGGAATAATGTAGATGATGAAATACCCATTAAAGGCCGTTACATCTTTTTTAAATGTTTGTGTGTTGTATTGTATTTGACGTTGTAACTAGAATGGCGCCAAATAGAAAAAAAAAGGTTTTTAAGTTTGTTTTTTTAAGATTGATTTGTCATGTGTTGCTAAACTGTAGTCGTGATGATTGATAGAGATTTGTCAGATTTTTTCAGTACCATATTTCGGTAGAAATGACTCACACATTGTAGATTCTAACTATACCTCGTGATAGATGATTTTGTTTTAATTTTAGCAACTAGATTTATCCACTTTTTCATTACCAGGGCTCTGTAATACGAGTGTTTCTACCGAGAATCCGCCGATTTTTCGCGCATAACATTCACTTCCTAAGAAGTTTCTTCTTAAGCGCCAGAAATTGTAAATGGAGTTCACTATTACAAGACTCATCGCCACACACCCACATACTTTTAAAATTGATTTCTATTTCGTTCTTCGGATAGTTATTACAGAAAGCATTTCACTGCCTTCATTTTCATGTTTCCTTTACCACACATATTATCAAACTAATACTCTCCCCTCTAAACCCTACCCCACTCTCCTTGAAACCAGTGTTGTATGAACACGACTGTTACAAATGCAAAATTAAGTACATTGTTCAGACCAACACGAACTTCGATGTCAGAATTTATTAACATTTACGTACATTCATGGTACATACACAAGTAGATCGCACTTCACTACTGTGTTTACACATCTCATAAACAAGACCCACATGTTCCAATTAGATTCAGACTGAATATTCTTGAAATATAACGTGAAATTATTGAATCGACAATTACTCCAACACGGGCGCACTACAGAGAGCTCCATTTAGATACAACTATGTGTGTATTATTGGAATGAATACTTGGCGAATAATGTCCATTCTTGGCGAAAACGCTCACTTCTCTCTGTATTCAAATTTCAAATTGTTTATGTGTTATTCGTATATTATCATACACAATTGACAAATAACTAACTCTAAAATACTAGTGAACTAAATTACTAACGTTTTGCGATTTGTATTATTAAGTTAAATTATTACCACCTTTTTATATTTTGAGACCAATTATAATAATGTGATTGTGTTTTTATTTCAAAAAATATTTATAAACAAGTATCTGTTCAAACACATATAATATAAAAAACATTTAAAATACTAAAATGAACATTTTAACGTTATATCGCTGAGACAAAGAAACGAGTTTATTATTTAAAAATATAAAATCAATCGTTAGGTTTTAGAAAGTCTTGTTTAATTTTCAAACCAGGAAATGTCTATCCAAAAAGATAAACATTTTTTTAAGAAACGGATATTGACTTTCTACCACATAATTAAAAAATCTGAATTTTTGTAAGTTTTGTCTTTTTTAACGAAAATGACACTTGCACCATTCTCTTGCACTAACCATTCTCCATTGCATTAACCATTATCAAAATTTAATACAAACTGTGGAAACATTTTTTATTTAAATTTTGAAAATGTCAAACGCTTTATGTAAGTTTCCCCTCTCAAAATTAAAACATTGTATTCAAATTCAAGAGGCCGGGACATCAGCCAGGGTCATTAGGGAATATCAGTTTTGGAGAATAGAAATTCAGCTGAACGGTTCAGCCGCTAGCGCTGTTCACGCACATACCTTTCGCCGTCGATCGATTTTTCGGTGTCAAGGATCACAAAACATGGATTCTGGTTGCAGCACGTGTGAGAGGAATTTTATTCTATATCAAGCAACTTCATTTATCCACTTTTTCGTTACTTGAGACCAGCAAAAAGAGTTTTTGTGTCGAAAATTTCTCTTTTCCGGCGCACGATTACAATTTTTTTCTTTAATTTAGCAAGCGAGAGAAAGTAAAATCAATTAAAATGAAACACAAGGAATTTAGATAGTAGAAATGTAAGAAATATCTCACAGGAAAAGGAAAGCAAAAGTATTGGAACACGCTGACTCATTCGCTGTAACGACTTTCCTAGAAGTCACTGCGGCCGCACCCGACTGTAGAGTGACCTTCACCTCGTCAGCCGGGACTCGCCTCTTAGCCCTTCGCCGTTACGCCTTCTGGATCAATTTCCTTGATTCAAAAGCGTGCGACACTGAAGCGGTGTTTATTAAATTTCACTGTCGGAAAAGAGCAGGGGAAACAAGTGAAGAGAGACAAATAAGAATTCGTTTGCAGAATGGATGCAGATCTTTGAAAGAAATTGAAAATTTGGGCCACGATGTAATTGGTAGATTTTGTGTTTGGAAAACCGTGGGAATCAACGCAGGAGAGGACAGCCGCAGTTACTGAACAATCGTGACCCAAGAAAAAAACCTTACGTCATTCAAGTAAACCCAAAATTTAGTGCTCCATAGTTGGCTTCTGGAACAGAAGTTTTTTACGAATACAGTTATCAGAATGCAAGGAAACGGGTACCATAGATGTGTGGTGCATAGGAAAATCTGGGTCATTGATATTAACAGAAACTTGTGATACCACAGAATGGCACATACTTTCTCGTAATAGTTTTGTGTATTCTTTAGCATGGGTTAGCTATTCTTACTTGCCGTATTCTCTTGCTATCTGTCATCTATTGCCACCCAAAGAACCATTGTTTTATTTTCTAAATTTTTGGATTTCCTAATAATACAACACAATTATTATTTCAAGAATATTAAAGAAAGAAAACCATATAATAAATGGCAATTTTCATTCAAAAATTTGAAGCCGTTAAAAAAATGAGGTTTAAGTGTTACCGTGAATGCGAAATTAGAACCTCTCTTCACAGGAAACCAATGAGTGTCCAAATTCTTCAAATGAAGACGTTTAAAGCACATTTAGTCGCAAATGCAATAGTGTTTACAAATTGTGCATATTAAAGGTGTGAGAGATGTTTCAAAAGTAGTATACTTACAAAAAATATTACAAAACCAAAGAATCCAGGAATATTAATTCGATGTACTCTTAAACAGTGCAGTTAGCACGATTTGTTGGAAACGTTTGAAGAAAAAATTTGGAGGCTTTTTTTAGAAAATGTCTTATGAGTCTGAAAATGCGAAATTTTTTATTCATTTTAACATAAAACTGTTGAGTTTTTGAAAAACAATTATATGACTTCATTTAAAATGCATGTATTGATAAATGGAATAATGTGAGCACATTGCCGCTAATGTAAATGTTGACGACGTGAGAGAAATAAAAAAATTACATTTTTATAATTTTTGAAAAAGAAAAGAATAGAGCAAAATGGCGTTTACGTCAACCTTTAGAATGCATTTAGCACTATCCCTGTCAAAATTTAAATACAAATGTGATGCCGTTTCTGAAAAAATCTTTGTTTCATTATATGTCCAATTTTGCGAGAAAACTACTGGAAGTTTCAAAGAAATGTACCTGATTTTAATGAAAGAACTAATTATGGGCAACAAATATCATTCGAAGGAACATCTGGAACTTTAATTTTGTAATTGTCAGAAGACGTCGAAAAAGTTTTATACTTTTGAAATTTTTGAGAATTCAGAGTTATCTGTGAAAATTGTACCTTTCCCACCATTATAAGTATATTTACTCTATTCTTACAAGAAACTTAAACAATTTGGAGGCATTTTTGAGAAAATATTGAAAATATCCCGAGGGTGTCGTGCAAAGTACCCCCAAAATTTAGTGAATGTTTTTTAGAATCCCAGAGCTCCAACTCAGGCCAAATCGACACGGGGTTTCTTCAATTAGAAACATAACCAACACGTAGTTTAGACGCAACAGACACTGTCGGACGGACGTCTTGCCGCCAATCGAGTTTTCGGTATCAAAGACCCCCAAAACAGGGCTCTGGCTACACCACGTCTTAGAGGATTTTTTCTTACTTTAGCAACTGAATTACTCCACGGGAATGATTTTTTTCTGTCGACAATTTGCCGTTTTCTTTGCGCAACATTATACAACTTTCTCTATATGACTTATATTCCTCCGTATATACATACGTTTACGAGAAACACGTCTCCACTTGCAGGACTAATGATTAGCAGTTGATTCGGCCAGAAACACGAAATCATTCTGAACTGTGGATGAATGAGCGGCTAGAACTCACGATCATAACATGAACGCACATACGCATGAATGTGTTCAACCCCAAAAAGGAAAATAATGTTGATAGGTCATGAGATCATCTACCCAAAAATATAATATGGTCGGAGGTTATCAGAGATCGACTTGTCAGCTACATTTCGTCCGATGTTGACTTTTCTAATTCCCTCCAACGTAAAATCCCAAAAAATGTGTCAAATTTACGAATTAGTGCTATTTTAACATATGCACATTTATCTTATGTGTTTATGGATTATTTCTTATCCGAGTATCACATTTTTTGTTTCCGTATAAATCCTATCAAATGCAAACAATGCCTTCTGAGGTGGCCCCCACGACCATTGCCAAGTAGATACGGGAAGCTGCCTAAACAACAACAACAACAACATAATAACAATGATAACAATAATAACAATAATGGCCCCGTGGCCTCAAACGTCGTCTGCGCCGAGGAGGCTGCAGGTGCGAGTCTGCGTAGACATGGTCGTATTTGTGATTGTCCCGTCACCCCACATCATCATCCTATCATCGCATAATTCACATTCAAGCGTAACGACCGTTGTCGTATTGAGGGAAAAGCTGATCCTGAAAGAATCACGCGTTAATCGTGTAGCATGGTCTATAATGGCTTACACGCCAATAATAATAAGAAGTAATAATATAATATAATAATAATATAATAAATAATAATAATAATATAATAATAATAATAATAATATAATAATAATAATAATATGACTTCGTAATCGGGAGGTCGGTTCGATTCTCGGCCGGCCATCCT